CGGAAGCAGGACAGGCAACAGGCGCACCAGCCGCGCCCCGCCAGCCCCCCGATGACCCGCCGCAGCGACAAACACTCGCACCACCGCAACCCGTCGTCCGCCTTGGGGCCGCACACCCGCCGCCAAGACGCGCCGTCCGAGAGCAGCGGCGCCGGATCGTCTTCTACCGAAGTCCGAGTGACCAAGAACTTCTCCTTGCACGCCTGCGACCAGTGTGGGCGCGCCTTCGCAAAGAAGGTACTCACTCCACTTGAGATTGCAACACTCTCAAATGCTCACTTGTCTTTTTTTTTTTTTTTTTGTCCTGACTTGATTTGCAGGGGTTGGAGCAAAAAAAAACCCCAAAAATAATAGGAATAAGAATTAATAGATTCTCACCAGGCGTGTCATAGCGGGCGCTCTTAATTATAAGAAAATAAAAAGTTTCTTTCAATTCTTACTTCATGATTAATTTAAAAATTATTGCAGCAAAAGCTTCCATTAAAAAATGTGACTAAAATATGTATGTATATTTTTCATTATCTTCAGATTAAAATGAGTTGAACAAAAAAAAAAAACATTGCTGGATGACCACAAAAAAATACACGATTTGAATGTTTACCTCGGTAATTCTATCTTTTACCACTAGAGGGAGCCCGTGTACCAGAACACTGCTTCACACTATTCGGCCAAAAACTTCATGAGGTTCCTTATGACGTAACCATTTCAGAAAAACGAGATAGTGAACCCCCCAAAAATTTAAATTTTATTTTGATTTTCAATAGTTTACGCCAGGGATGTCCAAACTTTCTCTACTGAGGCCCACAAATCCTTCCGTAGGTCAACATATGCTTAGCAGGTTAGCGCCCCCCAACATTTTTAACTTTTTCAATGAATCTTTTGATGTGCTCAATGTTTCATTTTATTATTGGTATATGCGGGAGGCTAATTGAATTTTTTTTTTTGTCCTCAGTTGTACCTGGAGTCTCACAAGCGAAGTCACCGCAACGCAGCGACGGCGGCGGCCAGCAGGAGGAAAGGTGTCAGCACGCGCTCCAAGTCGCTCGTGTGGTGAAGAAGAACAAAACGCAGCGTAAGAACTCTCTTGGCACACTTTGCCCGTACTTCACCCCCTCCTCCAAATTTTTCCTTTATACCC